TGCTTTTTCCACAATGTTATATCATTAGAGTCATATATAATATAGCCTTTTCAGATTGGTTTCTTTCACTTAGTAATATGCATTTATATTTCCTCCATGTGTTATTCATGGCTTGACAGCTCATTTCTTCTTAGTAGCGAATAATATTACAGTGTCTGGACTTTATTTATTTTTATTTGTTTTTTTTTAAGATTTTATTTATTTAATTGACAGAGATCACAAGTAGGCAGAGAGGCAGGCAGAGAGAGAGGAGGAAGCAGGCTCCCTGCTGAGCAGAGAGCCCGACATGGGGCTCGATCCAGGACCCTGAGATCATGACCTGAGCTGAAGGCAGAGGCTCAACCCACTGAGCCACCCAGGCGCCCCTTTTTATTTGTTTTAAGGACTTATTTATTATAGAGGGGTACAGAGGGAGAGGGAGAACGAATCTTAAGTAGACTCCCTGGTGGATGTGGAGCCTGATGATGGGCTCAGTTTCACAACCCTGAGATCATGACCTGAGCTGAAATCAAGAGCTGGGTGCTTAAGCAACTGTGCCACTCAGGCACCTCTGTACTTTTTTTTATTTTTTTTTAAGGTTTAAATAGACTTTTTTTTGCATTTCCTTTTTTTTAATTAACATATAATGTATTATTTGTTTCAAGGTTGCAGGTCTGTGATTCATCAGTCTTACACAATTCACAGCACTCATCGTAGCACATAACCTCCCCAATGTCCATAGCCCAGCCATCCCATCCCTCCCACCTTCCTCCCCTCCAGCAACCCTCAGTTTGTTTCCTGAGATTTAGCGTCTCATATGGTTTGTCGCTCACTCTGGTTTCATCTTGTTTCATTTTTCCCTCCTTCCCCTATGATCCTCTCTCTTATTTCTCAAATTCCTGATATCAGTGAGATCATATGATAATTGTCTTTCTCTGATTAACTTATTTCGCTTAGCATAATACCCTCTAGTTCCATCCACATCATTGCAAATTGCAAGATTTTGTGTTTTTTATAGCAGCATAATATTCCATCGTGTGTATGTGTGTGTGTGTGTGTGTGTGTGTTTTTCACATGTTCTTTATCCATTCATCTGTTGATGGACATCAGAGCTCTTTCCATAGTTTGGCTATTGTGGACATTGCTGCTATAAACATTGTGGTGCATGTACCCCTTTGGATCACTGCATTTGTATCTTTAGGGTAAGTACCCAGTAGAGCAATTGCTGGGTCATAGGTAGCTCTATTTTCAACTTTTTGAGGAAATTCCATACTGTTTTCCAGAGTGGCTACACCAGCTTGCATTCCCACCAACAGCGTAGGAGGGTTCCCCTTTCTCCACATCCTCACCAACACCTTTCATTTCCTGACTTGTTAATTTTAGCCATTCTAACTGGTGTGAGGTGGTATCTCACTGTGGTTTTGATTTGTATTCCTCTGATGCCAAGTGATGTTGAGCAGATGTCTTCTTTGCAGAAATGTCTGTTCATGTCTTCCGCCCATTTCTTGATTGGATTATTTGTTCTTTGGGTGTTGAGTTTTATAAGTTCTTTATAGATTTTGGACACTAGCCCTTTATCTGATATGTCATTTGCAAATATCTTCTCCCATTCTGTCAGTTGTCTTTTGGTTTTGTTGACTGTTTCCTTTGCTATGCAAAAGCTTTTTATGTTGATGAAGTCCCAATAGTTCATTTTTGCCCTTGCTTCCCTTGGTTTAAATAGACTTTATTGGGGCGCCAGGGTGGCTCAATTATTAAGTGGCTGCCTTCAGCTCAAGTCATGATCCCAGGGTCCTGGATCAAGCCCCACATTGGGCTCCCTGCTTGGTGGGAAGCCTGCTTCTTCCTCTCCCGCTCCCTGTGTTCCCTCTCTTGCTGTGTCTCTCTCTGTCAAATAAATAAAAATAAAATCTTAAAAAAAATAGACTTTATTGTTACAAGGAGAGCCCTAACGAGTAGCGCCTTATACACCAATATATGTGGTCTGAGGATGTGACCATGGAGAAATTGAGAGTTCATGATTGCAGAAGAGGTCACTGTAATTGAAAGACATGATCCAGGGATGGCTGGCCAGGAATGCAGTAGATGTGATCAGGAGAGGGCAGGGGTGGTCAGGTCACAGGGTAAGGGACAGGACAGCCCCATTCATTCCCGCTTCTTGTAGCACTCCAGATGTGACCGGACCCAACCTGATGGCAGGAGGAAAAAGGAAGCAGGTAGTGATCCCAATGGCGACATCCATGGTCCCGAGCTCCTCCCGCAGTGGCTTGGAATGGATCTGGGCATGCTGTAGGGGAGCCGCTAGGTGAAGCCTGTGAGGTCCCTCAGCAGCTTCGGTGTAGGCACAGACATGGCCACACGGAATGGCTGCAGACAGTGACCAGCAGTAGTAGTCTAAGGTCGGGAAGCCAAAATGGCCACACTGGCCAGAAATTCTGGCGCCAGGGGAGCCCCTGCACTTGTTTTCCAATGCAAGTATATCATAAGTTTTGGTATATTGTATGATGTACTGTTTGTCTAGGAAAGACAGGATAAATGTTTGCTTCCAGTTTTTATAGGTTTTAAAAAATAATGAGAAGATTCCCTAGTATTCCAGTTATGAATATTGCCATTGTTCCAAATTTATGCTTTTTGCCTGCTCTGTGAAATGATTAGCACCCTTTTAATTTATCCTTTATCAGCTGGCAGATATGAAGATTTGTCAGTAGAGGGCACCAGAGAGATATTACAGGAGGAAAAGCTTTTGTTTCCTGTTTCTAGTGTTTCAGTTAGGCAAGCTTTTGGGCTGTGGGCAGTTTCTCCAGTATTTGGCTCCTGCAACTTACAGGGCTTCTTCAGGACCTGGCCTCTTCAGTTTATGGTGGTGAACAGCCACAAACTTTTCTTGGCACCCTCTCAGGTGGTTTGCAGTAGAGTGCCTCTTCTGAGACACCTCCCCAAGAATGACTTTCCCCTACAGAAATCTACAATGTAGATTTCTGGCAGCTTCTGCTACTGCAGCACCACAGCCACTTCCCTGCCATCTAGTGAGCCAGGACCACATGCTCTCTGACAAGGTCTGCACTTCAGCTCTGGGGTGATCTTCATTAGACAGTTTATCTTAACCATAGAGGTAGTGGCTGTTCCTTATATTGCTAATCCTATTTTATTTGAGTTCTTTTTACTTTTTTATTAGTCAATTCCTTATTTTTTTTTAAGATTTTATTTATTTATTTGACAGAGATTACAAGTAGGCGGAGAGGCAGGCAGAGAGAGAGAGGAGGAAGCAGTTTCCCCTCCAAGCAGAGAGCCCGATGTGAGGTTTGATCCCAGCACTCTGGGATCATGACCTGAGCGTAAGGCAGAGGCTTTAACCCACTGAGCCACGCAGGCACCCCTCGTCAATTCCTTATTACTCCAATTCTCTGTTATAGTTAGTAAGCCTTTAAATAAATAAAATCTTCTCTGTTCAAATGACTGTGTGGTTCCTCTCACCTGATTGGACCCAGACTGATACATCTGGTAATTTTTTTTTAAGATTTTATTTATTTATTTGACAGAGCTCACAAGTAGGCAGAGAGGCAGGCAGAGAGAGAGGAGGAAGCAGGCTCCCCAAGGAGCAGAGAGCCTGATGTGGGGCTTGATCCCAGGACCCTGGGATCATGACCTGAGCTGAAGGCAGAGGCTTAACCCACTGAGCCACCCAGGCACCCCAACATCTGGTAATTTCTAAAGGTGACTGTATGGTTGGTTGGTTGGTTGGTTGGTTGGTTTGGTGAACTGATCTGTCAAAATTAATGATTTATGTTATTTCTTTCATAATGCTATCATAACTTGAAATTATTTAAAATGTATTAATTTGTAAATATTAATTACTTAGTTCTTAATCTCCTCTACTAGACAATCCACTTCACGAGGGTGGGGACCATGTTTATCTTTTTCACCATTCACTTCCAGCACTTAAAGCAATGCCTAGGAGAGTATGCATTAAAATGCATATGAATAAATGAATCTATTTTGTATTTTGGGGGAAGCCTGGACCAGTGAATTAGGTTACAAATACACATGCTTCACGCTTACATGCTGTGCTCTACTTAGCAATGCAATAACAAACTACATACATTCATTTAAAATTTTGTTACTTTTGAGGTGCCTATCTGCCTTTAGCTCAGGTCTCAATCCGGGAGTCCTGGAATCCAGTCTCACATAGGGCTCCCTGGTCAGCAGGAGGCCTACTTCTCCCTCTCCCACTCCCTCTACTTGTGTTCCCTCTCTCGGCATCTGTCAAATAAAATTTTGTTGCTTTTTCTTAAAGATCTTATTTTATTATTTATTTAAGAGAGAGAACATGAGCAGGGGTGAGGAGCAGAGAAAGAGGGAGAATCCCCCCTGAGCAGCGAGCGTGAGGCGAAGGCAGACGCTTAACCAACTTAGCCACCCTTACGCCCCTAAAATTTTACTTTATAAATTACTGGTGCCTCCAAACTTTTCCCCTCACGTTCAGTATCCATCTGTATTTTATTGTCATCTGCCCGTTCAAGTTCTTTACCATTTCTAATCCATGATTAATCGGGGTTTTTTGTGGGGTTTTTTAGGTTCTTTTGACTTATCGTTTTCTGATTTTTAAGCATTCTTCGTATATTAGCCCTTTATCGGGTTTTTGTGTGTTTGTTTTGCGCGTATTTTCACTCAGGTTTCCTTTTGACTACTTAGCGGGGTTTTTTGTTGTTGTTTTCTAACCCCGAAGCCACACTACTCCAGGTAGAAAGTGATGTCTGAGTTAACTGCGGAAGGCCAGGTGAAGTTAGTTGGGTGCCAGGACAGAAGAGCACAGTAGCAAAAAAAACACCATGAATCTCAAAACGAAGAACAATGACTACGCAAATTCCTGCCAGCACACAAACGTGATCCTCCCCACCTACAAACAGCCTCTAATCTCCTCCTCCAGGCCAGCGCCTGGCGCTTGTGTCTGACATCACGGACGCACCTCCCAGTTCAATTAGGCCGCGCAACCTCCGTAGCCATCCACCCCGCGCGCAGATGCGAATATTCTTGCGGCGCCGGAAGTCAAAGACACGTGACCGGGTGACAGCCCTCTCTAGGTTGCAGGGCTCGCTTTAGGTGTTGCGGCACGGGATGGCGGAGGCGCCTCCTGTCTCAGGTACTGTCCCGGCCCGCGCGGGACTGGGCCCCTCTCGGGGAGCGGAAGTTGGGTCAGTGGCGAGTCCTAGGGCTCCGGCCATTCATACCGCGAGAGTGGCGGTCGGGATAGTGGGAACCAGGGCTCGGGATAGTGGCTCGGAAGGGCCAAGCCACGCGCGTCGTGGGTACCGAGACCTCGACCATCCTCCACTGGATCGTGAAACCCCGCAGCTGGGTTTCCAGGGAGAGGGGGTTTGTCCCGGCACCCAGTGAATCGATGTGGGCGTCCCGCCTTCAGCCCGGCTCTACTGGGGCAGAGGCCGCACTAATCTCCAACAGGCGGGCGTCGGCCGAGTCACCGCCCGTGACGGTGGCGGGCTCTCGATGCGTGGCGCGTTGGCGCGTCCTGGGGCAGCAGAGCGAGCGCGAGCCGAACACCAATGGTCTCCATTCTCAGACTGCCACGCAGTGTGGCTGAGTCTTAGTTTCCTCATCCGTCGTCTGGGGGTAAATAAGTAAATTCCTGTGAAGGCTCCCGCCCTGTACGGTACCTGTTCCGTAATTGTTAGCTCACTTATCTTGGGGTTGGTTCTGTGTGTAGAACAGCTTCGTTTGGCTGTTCATGTAGCATCCATTTCCATTTCCTTCAAGGTGCACTTTAAGTCTTTGTTCTCCAAACTTTTGGGCAGACACCAAAAAGAAACATTTTACATCTGATTTAGTGCACATATGTGTATAATATAAAAAAGAACCGAAAGTTTTAGGAGGTAATGCTTTTTCTTACTAATTGCAATACACTATTTTCTGTTTTCTTTGAAGAAATACTTGTTACAACCCACTACATTGATTTCATTTTAGGACCCACTCTTTCTGGAAAAACAGGACAGCAGTTTGCAGCATGTGGTTTGTAAACATTGATTTTAGTCTTAGTTCTGCCACTTACCGGTGTTGAGTCACCAAGAAGAGTATATGTATGTTTGTGTACTGGGTGGCCACTAAAATGTACTTGTTACTTTGGGTCTTGATCAGAAGAGTTGTATTTGTCAAACCCTAGTCCTGATTTAGGTTTTAAATCTTGCAGGATGGGAACCTTTTGGGTTAGTGTGGTGTTTTTTTATTCTCCCACCCATTTTTCCCCCCAGATCTTCTAAACTGGATCCATTGATCTTCCCATCCTCAGGCTCCCTTCTGGCCCATTTCTACACCCTTCAGTGTTTGAGGCAGGATTGGATGAGGCCAGTTGTGAGGTATAGTTTTGGCCTTCCTTGTTGTGCCCCAGGTTCCAGCTATCCACCCCCACATCTACTATGGCATGTTTCCCTAGTCCAGAGACCTCTCCAGTCCCTCTCCTGTTCCTTAGTTTGCTTTTTTTTTTCTTTTCTTTTTTAAAGATTTTATTTACTTATTTGTCAGAGAGCCCAAGTGAGAGAGTGAGTTAGCACAAGTTGGGGGAGCAGCAGGCAGAGGGAGAAGCAGCAGGTAGAGGGAGAAGCAGGCTCCCCTCTGAGCAGGGAGCCCCACGTGGGGCTCAATCCCAGGATCCTGGGATCACGACCTGAACCGAAGGTAGACACTTAACCAACTGAGCAACCCTGGTGTCCCCCTTAGTATGCTTTTGTCTTGGTTCCTAGTCCATGCTCTTATTTCAGCATCATCTTTAGCCCACACCTCCATCTCCACTCAGGATTTAGTTCTCTTGCCCATTTCTGTCCTCAACAAGTTCAGGTATATCTTTCTGCCCATGGGCAGATTCTCCAATGCCAGCTTTGTTTCTTGGCTTCATAATCTCTTGGATTTCCCCTTATTCTTCTTCTCTGTTGGACACTTACTATGCTGCCGTGTTATCTTCTATCTAGGGTACCACTTATATCCTATTTACTGAGTAACTTCCAGCTACTTAAAATACTGAGGAGAAATAGAAGGTATCTCACATCTTTGTGTCTCAGGTGCAGATTCCTGATTTTTGTGCTCTTTTTTCCCTTCCTCCTATCTCTCAAGGGTCTTTCTGAAGGCATTACCAACTACCTCATGTCTAATGGAACCATACTGTGTTTGAATAGGGCTGCCCTGTTTAGACTCCCTAGTTGCATCAACTCCTTCTTGCTTAGCATGGAACACATTCTTCCCATCCTTTACTAGGCTGTTCGGACAACTTAACTGACTTTTCTTCTGCCTCTTTCCAACTTTGTTTCTTCAAGAAGGAGTGGACTATATGACACCCACTTGATCTAATCTACCCATTCCCACCTTTATGTTCTCTCTTATGTTTCTGGAACATTTCCTTTGCCACCTTCTGAATCTTTATAATCCTCTTTGTTTTGTAAGGCTTTCCACCCAATCCCCAGAATTGCCTGTGTGAATGCTTTCAGGACACATCCTGAATTGAGTGAGAGGTTACCTTATGACCTTTATGATCTCGTTCAGTTCTTCAGTATATGTTTCTATGGTACCCACCTCCCAGCCTCTGACAGTGCTGTGTAAGAGTGTGGTCTCTAGGGCCATGTAGCCTGGGGTGGAATCCTGAGTCTGCTTTGGAACACCTCTGTGGCCTTTGGCAAGTAAATTTCTCAGTGTCACCTTTCTCCTCAGGAATGTAAGGATTAAATAGGTTAACAGATGCAAAGTATTTAGAATAGTGCCTGGCACATGTTAATTACCTAGTAAGTGTTAGCATTTATTATTAAACCTGAAACCCACACTCTGCACTGCACCCATCTGAGGTCAGGTCTGTGTGTTTTAGTCTGTAGTCCTAACTGCAAAAATAAAGCACCATTTTAACCACTTTATGTATGTTACTAATTTGCTTTATTCTTCATAGCAACTCTCTGATGTAGGGATTGTTACTTTCTCCATTCCTTATAAGAAAATTTGGGTTAAGTCATTTGCATAAAGATACAAGTGATGGCAGGGTCATAAACCCATGTCTTCCAAGCCCCACTGATTCGTAACCTAGTTGACCCTTAAACATCACATGATGATTTATGATTCCCCAGAAACTTAACAAGTAACAGTAACTTAACAATTGACTAGAAACCTTACCAGTAACATAAATAGTCAAGTAACACATATTTTGCATGATATATGTATTATATACTGTACTCTTACAATAAAGTAAGCTAGAGTAAAGAAAATGTTACCAAGAAAATCATAAGGAAGAGAAAATATGTTTATTGTACTGTAAAAAATTGACATATAAGTGGACTTGTATAGTTCAAAACTTGTGTTGTTCAGAGGTCAACTGTATAATCCATATGTTACACATCATTCTGACTTTTCTACTAACTAGTGTTGTGTCCTTAGGCAAATCATTTACTCTTTGGGCTTCAGGAAAAAAAAAATCACATTGGGGGAAGGAAATGAGGGGGTTGAAGAGGCATATACTTAATTTTTGAGACTCGGATTCGGACTATATTATAAAGGTTATATATGGAAAACCTAAAATATATTCCTGGGTTGGGGGAAGAGATGGGAACTAATATACTCATTATGTTAAGTACTATCTATATGAAATCTTACTTAAACTTCACAATAGCCTTTTGAAATAGTATCATCTTCTGTTCAGGATGAGGAAATGAAGGCTAAAAACAATCAAGTGATATTCCTAAGCTCCTATGATAAATTGGAGAGCCAGACTTCAAACTGATTTTGGCTGACTCCAAAACCTGTTTACTTGATATTATGCAATGCTACCTTAAGAGTTTTGAAAGACCACATGGAATCTGCTCATTGATTCTCACCCCCAGATTGTTTGCTGACTTGAAATTTTTTGATAAAGTAACTAGATACATAAATCATGCCTGATCAGGATGCCTGACTGGCTCAGTCCGAACAGCATGCGACTCTGGATCTTGGGGTTGTGATTTCAAGCCCCATATAGGGCATGGAGCTTACATTTAAAATAATAATAATGCTTGGTCACCCAGGTGAGCAGTTTTAGTTAGTAGTTCTTAGCAGTGGCTATTGGTGAGGTTACTGGACATGGAATGGTCAGCGTTCCACAAGCATCTTGAACCCATCATATTCACAGGAAACATAGGCCTCACTAAGAGCCTGTTGTATTTATACAAGTCTTTAGGAAAGTAATGTTTAGATAATGACTTAGAGTCTTCTGGGCTTCATGGGTGATGATTTATTTCTTCACTGACATGTCTATTTTCTTATGTCCTAGGTACTTTTAAATTCAACACGGATGCTGCTGAGTTTATTCCTCAGGAGAGAAAAAATTCTGGTCTAAGTTGTGGGAGTCAAAGGAGACTAGATTCTAATAGGATTGGTAGAAGAAATTATAGTTCACCACCTCCCTGTCACCTTTCCAGGCAAGTCCCTTATGATGACATCTCTGCTGTTCATCAGCATGGTTATCCTTTGGGAAGCAAACCTAAAAGTCAACAGATTTCTTTTCAGTCCTCTACTTCTAACAAATCACTCAAGAACCCTGGCCTTCAGAACCAACCTTGGCAGAAATTGAGGAGTGAAAAACAGCATATCAAAGTCAAGAAAATACAGAATCTCACTGACCAGACCTCAGATGCAGCTGGCTTAGAAAGTGTGGGTAGGTCAGAGAGTGGGACAAACCCCAGAGAACACAGCCCTTCTGAGAATGAGAAGGAAATTGTTGGTGCAGATCCCAGGGGAGCAAAACCCAAAAAAGCAACCCAATTTGTGTACAGCTATGGTAGAGGACCAAAAGTCAAGGGAAAACTCAAATGTGAGTGGGGTAACAGAATGACTCCAAAATCCGAGGATGCTGGACCTGAAAATACCAAACCTCTGGGGGTTATGCACCCTGACTCTTTGGATACATCCTTTAAAAAAGGAGTATTGGATGGATATGCAGCCAGACGCAACGAGCAGAGAAGATACCCACAGAAAAGGCCTCCCTGGGAAGTGGAAGGGGCCAGGCCACGACCAGGCAGGAATCCACCAAAACAAGAGGGCCAACGACTTACAAATGCCGGACCCAGGAACAACATGGCCCCCATTCCAAAGGATAATCCTAATGAAAGACCAGCAAAATCTGCCTGTGACAGTGGGAACTTGGCAGTCGTCAACAAGTCTTCCAGAAGGGTTGACCCAGAAAAATGTTCTGTAAGGAGGCAGGATCCTCAAGTAACATCTTTCCCCCGAGGCAAACAGAACCATGTGCTAAAGAATATGGAAACTCACACAGGTAAATCTATCTAGAGGGTGGAAATGTTTCGTTTTGTTTTATTTTTAATAGATAATAAATTCACACAGTTGAGGAACCAGAAATCACAGTGAAACAGCTCTTTCTATCCTTGTTCATCATCTGCCTGGGTCCTGCCACCACTTGCTCCCCAACCCAGTAGGTAACCACTTAGTTTATATATATCATAAGCAAATACGAATAGGGAACTTCTTTTCTTAACAGACAAGAAATTTAGTAAGGGTTTTTTAAAATGCAGATATGGGTCTTACAGATGTTTGGTTATAAGATTTTTTATTTTTAATCATGAAAGCACAAGTAGGGGATGATGACATCTCCACTACCTCTCCTCGTTCCAGCCTGCAAGGAACTTGTCTCTTGTCTGCTTATCTGCAGGAGGTCCTGACCACTCTTGCCATCTTCAGTTTCTTTCTCCTTAGTCCATCTGTCACACCAGCATCAGGAGAGGGCAGAGAGAAGTAGAGGGAGAGAATCCCAAGCAGACTCCCAGCTGAACACAGAGCCCAATGTGGGGCTCAATCTCACGACCCCAAGATCATGTACTGATCCAAAATCAGGAGTTCCACATTTAACCAACTGAGCAGCCAGACACCCCTCTTTCTTCATTTTTATATCCCTATTGCTTAACATAGCTCTTAGAACATAATAAGTACTCAACTCTGGCTGTTGGAAAGTTCTTCCTTACATTGAACCGAAAACTTCTTTCCAGTAAATACTTTCTATGCCCTGGTTAAAGTTCTGCCCTCTGAAGCAACGCAGCAACCAGTCTCTCTCCTCAGTTTCCCTCCCCCTAATTGCAAATCAACCTTTTTGCGGTATTTGAAGACATTTCTCATTTTGCCCTAGGTATGTATTTCATCTAGGCTAACCATCTTCATTCCAGTAGCTCTTCCTCATGGACCTTCACCATCTGGTCTCCCTCCAGTTCAATGTACATAGCCCAGCCCAACACATAAAGTTACCTCCTGCCTGGGTCTGTTTTCACACTGGCTTAATAGTTCTAGTTCTCATTTGCTTCATTAGGCACTTCTTCCTCTTGGGACGTCAACTTATATGTGAACCAAAGTAATGATATACTAGAGTTGTTTTTGAATTCATAAGGCTGGTTAATAGTTTCTTTTTGCTTTATAACGAATTGCCACAAGTGTAGTGGCTTAAGAGAACACATTTATTGTATCAGTTTCTTTGGGTCAGGAGTCTGGTTAGGGGTTAGCCAAGTTCTCTACTCAGAGCTTCCCAGGACTAGAATTTGGCCAGGGAGGCAATCTCATCTGAGTCATAGGATTCTCTTCTCTCACTGGTTGTTGGTAAGATATAGTTCCTTATGGGTGTAGAATGAGGCCCCCATATTCTTGCTAGCTATTGGCTTGGGGGGCGGTCACTGAGCTTTTAGAGGTTACCTGCAATTTCCTACCACATGACCCTCTACACAACATGGTACTATTCTTTTTCAAGGTCTATAAGAACACATGTGTTACAGATTGTTTAAATCTCTCTGACTTCTATCTTTGATCCCTAGACTCTTTTTAAAGGGTTCGCCTGATTAGATCAGCCCCATCCGTACTCAAGGGGAGGAGATTATTCAGGGCACACACACCTGTATAGAGGCCATCTTAGAGTTCTGCCTAAGAAATCTCTCTTGACCTCACATACCCACATATTTTTGAGAATATTTTATTCACATTTATTGAATAAATATTTATGTACAAGCTGTTCTCAATACTGGGGGTACAGTACTGGTGAAATTCACGTTCTGGTAGGGAAGGCAGGCAGAAATTTCTTAAACCAATATTTAATATGTCAGGTGATGGGTAAGGGTTAAAGAGAATATAAAGCAGGTTAAAAGGACAGTAACAGTAGCATTTGTCTAACTAGGTTCGTCTGTTTGAGGAGACGCTTGAATAGAGACCAGAAGGAAATGCAGCAGCGCACCATGTGGCTCTCTGAAGAATATCCAAGCAGAGGGAGAATCAGGTTTAGATTCGGGTAGGAGGGGAGACATTGTGAGCAACGAAAGAGGCAGGCAGTAGAGGAGGTCAGAGAAGTCACAAGGACTGGATCATGTGAAGCCCTTGGACTTGGTTCTGATTAAGAATATGAGAAGCAGCTAGAGGTTTTGGGGAAAAAGGATGACATGATATTACTAGCACTCTAAAACAATCACTTAGCCTGCTGTTTGGAGAATTGGCTCTTAAGTAAGCAAGGGGACAAGTTAGGAGGTTGTTGCAGTAATTCACATAGTTGATGATAGAGACTTGGACTAGGGTAGTAGTGTTGGAAGAGGTAAGAGCGTTACACTTTGGATGTATTTGGAAGATAAAACTGTTAGGATTTGCAAATAGACAAGATGTTGCCTGCAAGAGATTGAGAGGCGTCAAGGACCAAGCCAAGGCTTTTGTGTCTGAGTAATGTAAAATTAGAATTGCTGGGGCGCCTGGCTGGCTCAGTCCGTGGAGCATGTGACTTTGATCTCTGGGTTATAGGTTCGAGCCCCACATTAGCTGTAGAGATTATTTTAAAAATAAAATCTTA